AACAACATTTTGGGTATTATTATTGCACATTTTAATTAATCTTACGAGTTTTTCAGGGATTCCAAATTTCTTYAAAKCAGTSCACAATTTGYTACGGTTTATACTATCGTAAGCTTGTTTAAAGTCCACGAATACTAAATGAATATCTTTGTTATACTCATGATGTTTTTCTAGGATCTGTCTTATAGCAAAAATATGATCCGTGGTTGATTTTCCCTTCCTAAAACCACTCTGGTAGCTGCCAATAATTTCTTCTGCATACTTTTGTAACCTTCCTAGTAAGAGAGACGACAGAACTTTGTATCCTACATCCAGTAAGGATATTCCTCTATAATTAACTACTTGTTTTGGGTCATTTTTTTTAAATATCGGACAAATGGTTGCCGTTTCCCATTCTTTTGGAATTTGTTCTTTTTGCCATATTAACAGGACTAATCTATATATCTTTTCTCTGAGTTGTTGACCTCCAATTTATAAAAATTCTCCGAAAATCCCATCTTCTCCAGCTGCTTTGTTGTTTTTTAGTGAAAGGATAATTAAATCTATTTCTGTACTACTAGGTTGTAATTCAGTGGACTCTTCAGCGCTGTGTATGATGATTTCCTCTTCTTCTTGACTATCTCCTTGGACTATTTCAGATTTGTTATAATTTAACAACTTGTTGAAATAATTTTTGAATTCTTCTGCAATGTCTTTGCTATTCATGATCAGATCTTCCTTCTCATTTGTTAAAGAGCAAATCGTAGGTTTGTAGCCATTCTTCAAACTTTTACATCGTCTGAAAAATTCTTTTGGGTTGTGTCTATATTTTTCCATTTTTTTTATTTTTTCCTTTTCAGCTGTCTTATAATTTTTGTGGCCTCTTTCTTTTTTAACTCATATATCTCAATATTAGCTTGCGTAGGGAATTGTAACATTTTCAACCTCGTCTGATTTCGGTTTTTAATTATATCTTCACACTTTTGATTAAACCAAGGTTTTATTTTATCTTTGCGCTGACGTTGTATAGTTTCGTCCGCCACATTTAATATAGAGTTTTTAATTCACTTCCATGCGTCATCAACGTTTTCATCCAAATTTGGATTATACTGATTTAGTTAGTTGAGAGAGAATTAATACAAATAATATAAAATCTATTTATTATAGAAATATAGTTGACTAACACCGAATCTGGCAACATTGCACAGAAAACGGCTAGTAAAAACTTTGTAATYGTGATATGAAAAAAGATCCGTTCACAATTGTATATGTATTCGTCACTCATTATTTATTTTGATATTCAATATCTCAGTCTATATTGAAATCTCCTTGATTTTATTATTACAWCAATATTGGGTTGCATGAAAAATGTATTAATATATTGTAATGGCCACTAAATCATGTTTTAAGGACCATTAGCTAATTTTGATTTTTTTTTTAAATGTTTAGTGATCGTTCACTGAACCTAGAATTTGACTCCATATCTTGAAATTTTTGGCATTTCAACCTTTTTTTCTGTTTCCCATAAGATTTGACTTAACAAAAATTTACTAAAATGTRTAAATATTTCATCATTATTTAATTATACAACCTTGTTATTAGGTTATTTATGGTGTGATTGATTTGTACGGTTGTCATGTTTCGGTTAAAGTTATACATACAGATCAAGATTCTAAAACAAATGTGCAAATGATTTCTTCACAGTGTAGTGAAAATACATCAGATATATCTGAATCAGTTAAAGTGTAAGTATTTAATTATCCTCAAAAATGTAGATCTAAATTTGTTCTTCTACTTTAAATTAATTGATTATTTTATTTTAGAGACACAACAATTAATGTTTTGAAAAGAATGACTGTACTAGATGAAGATATGAGTGAATGCTGTTCATCTGAAATTAGTTATTTTATAGATGAGGTAAAATTGTATTAAATTGAATATATTAAAATAAATAAATGTTGTTATTGTTAACAGTCTACATATAAACTAATGAGATTTAATGACTGGCGAGGTCGCAATGTACGCTTATCACGAGATGGCCGAACAGCAACTAGAACAGAAAGTTATCATTATGGAATAACAATGACATCAGATATTTTAGTACCAAACTCTTTATTTCAGGTATATACATTTAAAATTTCAAAATTTCTAACTACTAATAATTAATTATATTAATATATAATATGATTGGTATGGTTTACAGGTTGAAATTCAAACATTAAATAAAAAGTGGGAATCATCGATAATGATTGGTGTATCCAAGATAACATGTACAAATAGTTCTGCCCCTGCAACAGCGTTATCTTTAAAGGGATATGATAGCACATGGATAATTTCTGGTGATTCTGTATACTTTGATGGCCTTAAAGTAAATATCTTCTACACGAATTTTAAATACTTATATATATATATATATTATAAATGTGTTTATTTATTTTTTKTTAGATTAAAAGTAATTACGGTCCAGATTTGAATTATTGTTTGCCAGGAGACATCATTGGAATCATGATTGATGGAGAAAATCGCTTAAAATTGTTTGTTAATCGTATAGATTTTGGAGTAGCTGCAATTAACATGCCAGCTGATTGTTATGGTATTGTTGATTTATATGGTCAATGTGAACAGGTAAATAGTACATATGCATATTATTATTGATTTAAATTCTACTTAAAAATTATACCAATCTTCATAGGTGTCCATAGTAAATCCCTTTATTGATTTATCGCCTGTTGATCCTATCCCAAACATGCCTTTGGAATGTGACTTATTACCTGAAGACTCAAGTCAACCTATCCCATCTGAAGAGAAAGCTGACTTTGAAGGTGACGAAAAACAAAGTCCGGCATGTGAAGAAACTGAATTGGCAGATTTAACTTGGATGAAAACAGACAAGACCAATGAGAATGTTTTGGTGGCAAGTGGCCATGATGTTAGGTCTCGTTCAGCTGAATTGGCTGGCTGGATAGATGAGGAAGCAGGTACGTCTACAATGAGAATGTCAAAAATTCGTGCAGGGAAAACCTCTGGTTATTATACTCCAGATACAAGAGAACGAAAACAAAACGAAATATTAAAATCCCTTCGCCTCAAACAGTGTCAATATTTTAATTTATCATCAAAAATCAGAGCTTATCTCAGTATTCCAGGTTAGTTGTAGAACAATGGGAATGAACAGTTAAAAAATGAATTTTAACTATTCATTTTTTTCAGATGTATTTTTCTTAGAAAAAGGTCATACATGCTATTGTGATGGTTGTAACTTGTATACATGTGATGAGAATAAGTTATCTATTGAAACGGGTTGGTGCAAATTTTTACTCCGCAAACATCCCAAGTTCAATAACTTACTTTTGGATAAATGGCGATCAGTATATGTAGGAAGACCATTTGACATGATCCGCAATTGTTTGGATAATGGAATTTTAACTGTTCTAGGTACAATTAGTATAATCTGTTTTTAAAAGTAATATTTTAGTTTATATTTCATTATATGATTTAGATACTGAACCGGACAACATTATACTTTACCCATACTTAAAACGGACAGTGTGTTGTCAAAACATAAAACCTTTTAGGTAAGTTAAATATTTTTTACAATTATTAAAAGTTACTATAAAATCATTGTTTTATCAGGTATTATGATACTGAAACCAATAACCAGTATAAATGCCATGCAGCTTTTGAGTTGATGATTGAACAAGGTTCATTTGAAATTGGCGAATTGTTGCCAAAATCTAGCAGAACTGATTTTCATCAAATTTCATCACTAGTCATTCCTAAAATTGGTACCCAAACCGTACTCACAGCTCTTTATTTTAGATTTGATAGAGATATAAATTAAAATAAACTAGAGAAGTATTAATTTTAAGAACTTACAAGACATTGATCTCACTTATTTTTGTTATTTTTTTTTTAATTATTATTTTCAATATTTGATAAAGAACAATTATTATGAAATCATTAATTACATCACTTTATAATGTCTGGCGACTTTCTCATTTAATATGTTGTCCTGCTTTACACTAACATATTTAGGGTTTTCTGTACCTTCTGTATAAAATGTGTATGGCAAATTAACATTACCAAGTCTTAACTGATTGACATGTCTCAATATATCTGGCGATACAGGAGTAGTTATAAATATGTCACCAGTAGATTTATTTACAATACGAACAACTCCTAAAATTAAATAAATAATTAGATTCAGCTTTTATAAATTATTGGAGTAAATAACATAAAATACACACCAAATCCAACACATTCACATACATTTGTTTTGTTGGCCACACACAGGGCTACCACATTAGCATTTATAATTTCTAAAGATTCGTCTTGGGTTAATTCATCAATATCCTTTATTTCAACATTAATATTTCGGATGTTTATTCTGTAAATTAAATATTGTTATTCTATGTTAATTATCAATGTTTTAATAATTTATACCTATATGGGATCACATCATTAAAATAAATATCTGTACTTTCCAAACATTTACTGAAATAGGATGATGTTACCAATTGTTGCCTTATGTGTTTATCAACGTTTCTATAAATACACATAAATGTTAATAAAAATTTAAAAAATGACTTCTTTGAATAGGCTTACGGTGAATAAGGAGCTTTAGCAAACTTATTTTTAACAGCTGAAGTAAAATACCAAAGGTTATATGACAAAGAAGATTTTATACTGTCATTTATAATTTCTGAATGCAAATTTAATTCTTGGTTGTCATTGAATTTAATCTGTAATACATCAGATGGTTTAGTTTCAGATATTAGATTATGTAAGATCTTAAGGCCTCCTCCTAAAAGTAAAAAAAAAAAATCGTTWAGTTTATTAATTTATGTTTTTTTTTATACATTACTATTATTATTTATTTTTAATTAAAATGAAAATATTACCTTCAACAAATCCCATGGTGTTAATAAAACATGGAATTTGTTTCAACTCATCAGTATTGGTATCGTCAACTATTTTTTTAACAATTTCATTGTAAAGTGKTACATTGGTCATAACATCATTACTCTCAAAAAAATATGATCTAAAACATGTGAAATAAAATCCTATTGTAATTATTGTATGAGCATAAAGAGGTTCATCAAATTATAAAAAAAAAAAATTGAGCATTAATTAAGATTACTTTAAAGGTTGCATTAAATGAGTATAATTTGGTCCAAGTAATGGTCTATCAACAATAAATGCAGAGATACATCCAGGTATAAAAAATTCACTTTGGCCAATATCAAAGTCCAATACTAATATTCTATCCCACTTCTTAAGGCATTTATTAATAAAATAACGCATCAATGTAGACTTCCCTGAATTTTTGTACCCAGCCAACAAAACTCGGATTGATCCTATAATCAAACATTTTCAATTATAAACATATAAACGAGATGTGAATAGTGTTCTACAACATAAAACTAACCAGTAGGTGAACCAATAGGACGCTTGAGAAGTTCATCACAGAAACCTTCAAATTGTTCATTCACCACAAGTCTTTGATTTGACATTGGAGTCTTGCTTAGATCAAACCAGCAACCTAATTGTTCTTCAAGTTCTAATAAACGTTTGGGTGGAGTCAATCTAGTTCCATTTGCGTCAAACATGTTGAAACCTAAAAAATCATATGACAGATTAATACTGCTATAATTTTTAGTTAAACTTTTAGCGTACTGGGAACATAAATTTTCATAAAAGATTTCCATTTACTGGATTGACTGCTCTTCTCTAGCATGACAACTGCTTTCTGTCCGTTAGCTGAAGCAATAGAAATCAATCCATGCAATCCTGAAGAGTACAATGTGGTCTTTGGACTATCCACGGTCATAGTATAACCCCATGGTTCTATAGTTCCTTCCAACACCTGGACATCAACAGCTCCGATGATGTACAAAATTTCTTCGCCTTTGAACTCGATTAACACTTTTTCGGATGAATCAGATTCAAAGAATACAGGTAAAGTATCAGGTAATTGATATATTTCTTTCATTTTGATGCTTAAATCTAACTTTACATCGAGAAATTCGAAATATTCAACGAGCAAAACTTCATTAGCAAGACTGAACGACTGAAGAGTAAATAGTAAGTTGTACAAACTAAAATGATGTACATATTGTTATCACAGATTCAAAATACATTATCATCAAATATTCCTCGTGGTCGTTAGGTAGAGATGGTATCAGTTTCACGATTATTTACCTTGTCCGTGATAAAACAAGATCGTATTTCACGTTTCACAATCATATCTATGTTCACAATACATGTTTGTTCCGTTGAAATAACCATAGACATAATAATATTATGTCTATGGAAATCAAGGTTTATAGATAATATATATAATTATTATAACTATAACTATTAAACTATTACTATAATATAACTATTATCTATAAACCATGTATGGAAATAATATAATAATATATCATAAATTATTATAATATTATAATATCACAGAATAGATTAAATAATTTATAAATCAAGGTTATATATTATATAAAACCATTAAATCTAATTATAATAAAATATAATATTATAATTTATAATGAAAATGATGCTATTGTATTGTCAATGTTATATCACATTTTGATAGCTGCAAAAAAGGGGTTAAATGTAGGCAATATTATATACGGACACAAAACACTTTTCCTGCGAAAAGCCATTCGTGTATTATCTATTATTATATTATATTATGATTTATATCATGTCTATGGAACAAACGGACAATTTTGAGATTCTTCTAAGTTCGGTATATACACCTTGATTTGAATGAAAAAATATTAAGAAATTAATAGACGCAAGACATATTTTGTGCGATCGAATGGAATTAACTAAAATATACTTCGATAATAATATGAAAAATACATGAAATAGTTTTCGGATAACATTTGAACATTTATAAATAATTATTATGCATAATATTATAAATTCTAAATAGAATAGCACAAGCGAAGAGAGTCTTCCAGATTAAAAAAAGCGGGTAACTCGTGGATGTCGCTCTTCTGTACAGTATATTACAACTGGATGGTGGATGGAATTAAAGTTGAATCCAATGATATTATATCATTGTATACGAAAAACGATTCTGAGCGAAGACGGTTTATCTGTCTAGGATATATTATATAGATTGTTAAAAATTTTCAAATCTTAGATTTAAAAAGAAAATTTTTTATGAATTTCTAGCGTAAAATAATTTACGAATTTTCGTGATTTTTTCGTATGTTGTCAAAATTCAAACTTTGAATGCTTGTAAAAAAAAATTGTGACTATGCATTTCTATCTAAGATAATTTGAACATTGCCGTAATTTTTACGTATTTAGTTAAAATTTGAACTTTAAATGCTTATAAAAAAAAATCGTGTGTATGTATTTTTAATATTTTTCAACTGCTATTGTTACAACGTGTTAGAAGCTTTGTATTACATTTTCAAGCTTTTCTACTCAACAAATAAATATTAATCGATATTAGTTTAAAAAAAACTAATAATGATTGAAAATTGCAAATACCTATGAATAGTTCAACTTAAGCTGAAAATTTTTGAAAATTGCATGGTGGATAGAATATACTTATATAAACATTCGGTGAAAATTTCATGTATTTATGGTCATTTGTTTTAAAGTTACATCAAAAACCAAAATCGATTTTGTCGAAAACTGATTGTGCGTAAAATTACCCGTTTTCCACTTAATTTTTAGTTTGTTTATCCCGATTATTTAGAAAAAGTTTCACTTTCTGATCGAATGAGGTACTGAAGTCAAAAATCGAAGCATTTCTACTGCCCCAAAACGTGATGACACACACAAAAAAAAACCACACATTATGGTAAAATCAATACATTCATCGCTTCGCTCAGAATCTAAAACCCTTATTAACCACCAATAATATGACCTTAGAGGTAAAGAAAAGGTTTTTAAAAATATATGTATRGAGTATAGCCTTGTATGGCTGTGAAACTTGGACAATCAGTGCAATATAGAAAAGAAAACTAGAGGCCTTTGAAATGTGGTGATATCGTATAATGTAAAGAACTAAATGGATTTATAGAATAATGAATGAAGCACAAGCATTAATAATAGAATAAAWGAAAAGAAAGTACTATGGCATACCATAAAAGTCGGAAGAGCTAAAATGATAGAACATATACTACGTTATGCRAGTCTAWCGAAAAGCGTCATAGAAGGCGACGTTGAAGGCCATATAGGAAGAGGAAGACTGAGGATATGAAGCAAATCATAATCGACATAAGGAAGAATAGTTATAAGGAACTAAAGGAATTGAGTAACGATAAGGACGCCTGGAGAACTGCAGCAAACCAATCCCAGGATTAAAGACTGAAGTGGAAGAGAGAGAAAGAATTAACATTTCCCTGGAACACGTGCACCAAACGTTACTAGCCGACTGCTATTATTATTTTAATAGGTAATAAATTGTTCCTACAGTTTGTGTAAGTTCGTAAATAATATAATCAATGTTAATCGTCTCGGGATTTAACACTTGAATAATTTTTCAATTGGCAATTTCTGAAAATAATATCGTAATTTGTGATTAACAATAATCAATTTAAACAGCTGAAAATTGAATTGCCTATTTTATTTTTTACATTAATGGAGTATTAAGTTGTTCTTTGTATCACTTCATCAGTATTGTAAATAACCAAATAAGTACCTACAGTGGTGTATCTAGATTTTTCTATGGAGGAGGGGGGGGGAGAATTAGAAAAAATATAACATTAAATTGTTTTGAATTTTGTGTTTTTTTATTATTATCAATAATCATACATTAAAACATTTTCGGGAGGTTACAACCCCTTAACCCCCTCCTGGATATGCCACTAGGCACCTATTTAAGTCAAAGCAATATTTAGGTCGGATGGGTGACCACCCGGGATTTTTAGCAACATATCCTTGTCACATATACACAAACACGTGATATAACCCTACCCTCTTAAAAACCTACAAACAAATATACAAAAATAACCCTTACCGTACCACCCCACACCCAATGGCCTGTTGCTGTGGGTTCCCCTTAAAAAAAAAAAAAATTAATTTGTATGATTGATACCTCTACTCTGTCTCACGAAAGAACGGGACCCTGTCTCGACCAAAATCGGTCATTCTTGCGCATCTCCACGCCGCACCGCACCACAGCACTACAACGACGACGACGGTCGTCGCTGGTGGTTGCCGGCGGTCGTGGTGAGGAGTAAACAGTGAGCTCTTTCTACATGCGCGAAACGGYCCCGTTCTTTCGCGAGACATACTATATATGATACTCGATAATAAATCGGACTATACTCAAAATAGGTACCTAGGTATACTTCTTTGGCCTCAATTGTATCCCTTAATTCCCACTGATATGACCGTTATGGGCGTTATGTCCTATCCAAGGTGGTCGGTGGATACATATCCATAATCCATATATATCCACATTGGTCCTATCCATATCTTTATTATCCATGATTTACATAAATATTTATCAATTTWTCATTTTCAGTTATCAGACAAGAAACGGTATTACCACAGATTAAATATTTGTCATAGACATATTTATAAATATTTATATGTCTATGATATTTGTGATATTATTAATAAGAACCACGGACGATGATAAGAACCATGGTATTCTCGATTCGTAATCGACTGTCGCTCGTCACCATAATATTCTTATCTAATCTGTACTAGTCGCCGACTCACCGTTGCTTTTACAATATTTTTCTTTTATTCCCGGTTGCTCTTATTACACATTTAGTTTATACTGCATTATTCGTAACTATGTTTATGGACACATCTAGAGATTTGTCTTCTCTAACAATAATCAAAATACTTGGTTTGGTCCCGAACGAAGAAACTTCCGTCGCGGTCCACAAGTTCATCATATTTCATCATCCAACGAGTGCTTCGTTCCGACTAACCATTCTCGATAATATAGAAGTAAGTTTATTTTTAACAGACGCAAAATTTTATCGTTGACATGATACCAAATTAACACTACAAAATATCTATTATAACTAACTAAGTTATATCCAAATCCAACAGTTAAAATATCCACGGACAAGAGATCAGATTTTATTCGTTTTTACAAAAATTAGTAGATTACCTATAACTTGTTATAAACTACAGGATTCATATTAGAATGTACCTGTATTAGATATATTTAGTTGCAGCACCATAATATTGTGTTTGATAAAGCTATTTTTTTACAAGCATTATTTGTAAATACTAAATAGTAAGCTAGACTAATTTGGTGTTAAGTTCCTCCTCATTGTCACTTTTACATGTAAGCTATCAACAAACAATTTAAACTAGTTAGATGCACATTTTGTTATATTATGCTTCAATAAGACCAACATGATGTCCTCTTAACAAATTTTCATTGAACATTGAATACCCATTACTGTATTTTGTACATAAATATATTATATTGTGTTTAGAAAAATTATGTTCATATATCAATGTATAAAAATAGAAATGTTTTACAAGAATGGAAAATTATTATTGTTGACATTATTCATTGGTGGGACTGTAAGAAATATGGCTAAATAACAAAAAAAAGTATGTAGTTAATGAGATGTGTAACTAGGAATTCTATTTTTTATCATAATTTATTCTTTACAATATACTTTATAACTAGTATACATTGATCTATGTACTTACTGATTCAATATTCAGTTTTAATACATTTCAGTGTTTTCATTTTATTTATGGCTGTCAAAATAAATATGTGCAAAAGCCCACCTTCTAAACCCTTCTTACGACCAAATGAAAAGTTTTACATTAAAGATACCTACTTAATTCCAATGTTTCATGTTCACAGTCACAATTGAAAAACAAATAAAAAAGAATACATAATTTAATATGGAACCATGAAGAACAACTACTGATGATTGAGCAATTAATTCCAAGTGAGCAAAAATATTAAAATTATTGTGATATTAAACATACAATTTAAACCTACATTTTGAAAGAATTTTACTGTATACAATTTGTTGTTTTAATAATTTATAAATTGTTAAATCTATTCATTGTATCCAATTTAAAGTTTATACATTAGTAACCTATTAGTACCTCATAATTTTTTTTTGCAATTTCTTTTGGGTATACTTAATCATATGATATACGCAGTTCTAGATTGGTGCCATTCCCTCTTAATGTGATATGTTGTGATCAGAATTAAATAAAAATATTAATCAAGAATTTATTAATGATAAAGTATTTAATGGAATTAGTAAAGRGAAATTTATTGAAAAATCAGACTAAAACAATGATAGTCAGTTAATTTAAATATCATAGCATAATATTAAATTTGATGATATCAAAAATTTCTATAATTTTAAATCTATAATGAAGAGAGTTTAAAAATTAAGAGGAAGCTACACCTGCATGTGTTGTTTCTGTCTTACAAATGTAAAACATTGCGAAAACTGTTTTGTGTGGAAAGAACCATTTAAGCTGTAATTTAAGCTAAGCAACCAAATTTGTACACTATTAAGAGGAGAATATTTACTGTGCAAGGTTGTTTTTAATTTTTCGATATCACTAATACAAAGAAAGTTCTTATTGTTTATGAATTTGTTATTTTTGAGTTTTCAAACTTAAATAACTTTTTTTAGTTCTGATATCGAAAAAAATAAAACAATGTTGCATTGTAAATATTCTCTTGTTTAAAGTGTGAAGATTTGGTTGCTTAGTTTAAATTACAACTTGAGTGGTTAATTTCCTCGCAAAACAGTTTTTACAATATTTTACATTTGTAAGACGGAGACAACACATGCGAGTGTAACATCTTCCTAAATACATTTTATATTTATTGTAAATTAAAATGTTTCAGCACATAACATGCTATTACTAGTATTTTCTTTTGTACAATTTTGAAAGTGTTAATTTTATAAATAATAATTTCTATAACAGGATATAGATAGGTAATATTGGTAATTTTGATAATTAAGATAAAAATGCGAGCTAATGAATACAGTTTAAAAATTCCAGTTAGAGTTATTGAGGGTATGCAACCAAATTTTTTTGTGGTGCACTTTACATCACATATACCCTACTCCCCCAATCGATTTGATGCAGAAATTTGTCGATTATGTTGAATTTATCAACTTGTAAAATTTCTTTATTGTATCGATAGGTACTATAATATTAGATAGTATGATTAGATCAGATAGAAAATATTGGAAATCTGCATTACTAACATTCATCAATATTGTTACATAAATTTCGACATTCACTAGTGAATGTTAACAAACAGTACACATTTAATAAATATGCCAACAACCACTAAAGATATTTGGTGTACGATGACATTAACCAGTGACCGTCAACACTCACCGATTGCAGACGTACGCAATAACATATATACACACCCAAAACAATATTCTAGAAATATTGTAATTAATATTTTAATATTGTATTTAATACATTTGAACATATTATGTAGATAGGCATACAATTAAAAATGTATTTATAAAAGTTTTAGTTCATAATATGTTTGTTTGATATAATATATTTTAGAATATATAAATTGGTTTATGAGCTATAATTCTCAAATGTTTTATTAAAATCTACATAGTATGTGATGTAATTATATTTATTTTCCTTTAATTGGAAAAGGTCTTAAAATAATTAATTTCTTTTTTTTTTTTTTTTGTAGAAATAAAACTAAAGAAAAAGAAAATAAAAATTTAATTAAATTTTACTGATAATTGTGAATTTAAAGAAACAATTTTATGAAAGCAACTTCAGAATTCATTACTCAAATGAAGATAAGACATTTAACTGCTTAAGGATAAATTCGGAAAATCTATTGATTGCTATCTGTGATAATGTCTACATCGTCATATTTAACAAAGCATACAAGAACATATACRGGAGAAAAATTGTATCAATGTGATATCTGTGATAAAAAGTTTTCTACATCATCAGATTTAACAAAACATACAAGGACACATACCGGAGAAAAACCATATAAATGTGGTATCTGTGATCAAGCTTTTACTCGGAATACAAGCTTAAAAAATCATACAAGAACGCATACCGGAGAAAAGCCATATAAATGTGATATATGTGAACAAGCTTTTGCTCAAGCACGTTCATTAAAAAGCCATAAAAGGACACATACCAGTGAAATTCCGTATAAATGTGATATCTGTGATAAATCCTTTTCTCAACCATATAATTTAACAAGGCATACAATGATACACACCGGGAAAAGGCCATATAAGTGTGATATCTGTGATCAATCCTTTTATCAAGCAAATCATTTAACAAGGCATATAAGAACACATACCGGAGAAAAGCCATATAAATGTGATATCTGTGATAAAAAGTTTTATACATCATTAGAAGTAGTAAGACATACAATCATACATACTGGCGAAAAGCCGTATAAATGTAATATCTGTGAACAAGCATTTTCTCAAGCACATCATTTAACGGGGCATACAAGGACACATACCGGGGAAAAACCGTATAAATGTGATATTTGTGATAAAGATTTTTTTACATCATCAGTTTTAAGAACCCATAAAATGACACATAACGAAGAAAAGCTGTA